GCCCCCCCCCCCCCCCCCGCCCCCCCCCCAAAAAAAAAAAACAACACCACAACTCTGCCTCCCATGCTCTGTAAAGCCTAGAGAGAAACCAGAAGCTGTCTAGATCGACCTCCTCCAAAGTGCATCTGAAAGGGCCTTCAGCCTGAAGGGATCTGGGTTGTAGGCAAAACCCAGGTTAGATCCAAAATCTGCTCAAGTCTGCTTTCTGAATTAAAGCATTGAAAAGACAGATCTGTCAAAGTTAGTTTCTTACGATGACCAATTCTTTCTGTCAGAAGGAAACTGTTAAGCGTTGGGCCTGAGGTAAGACTTCTATGTTACGTTGCTCAGGAGAGCATTGTAGTTTTCCCTTTAGGTTTTGTGTTTTCTGTTCAGTTTTGCCAAAGCTGCTGCTTCGCGCCCCCCCCCCCCCTTTTTTTTTGGGGGGGGGGGGGGGGGGGGGGTACACATATGACTTTTTCTGACCTGTTAACTGTTTTGACGCCTCTGTGGACTGGAACTGCCACCTAATAATACTTACTTATTACCTTTCTGCCATTAGAAAGGGGGTTGACCCAGTAAGCAGATTTCTAGCCTTAGAGCTCATCCGCGTCTTCTCAGTTTGTACCGTATCTCTCTAATAGTGAACAGTATTGACAGCTTAGGCAAACAGTATATGTAATAAGCGCTGCAGCAAAGGAATTCCTCAGCAGCAGGTTGCATCTCTACAGTTGTGTTTCATAACTGCTGGTGCTGCTAGCCCTTCAAGAATTTGACTAATCCCTTTTGAACCCATCGATAAAAATATCCGGGGGAAATAAGCACACCTTTTTCTTTTGCCTGCCTTTAAAAAGTCCTCCCTTCCCACCAGCTTTCCTTTTGTTTAAAATCTGCCGCCTAATAATTTCGCTGGGTTCCCCTAGTTCTGTAATAAGAAGTAATGCTGAGTAACTCACTCCCTCACTATTCCCAAGTCACCTTTTCCACATCTTTCATTATTTTAGGCTTCTCTTGCATGCCATTTCCCCTCACGCTGCTTTTCTAGGCTGAAGAACCCTAGTCTAGTCCGTCTCTGAACATCCTCGTCCTTCTCTGCATTTTTCTCTACGTCGTCTAGTTGTTCTGTCTCTTTCTGGTGATAGAGCGACCAATGACCTCTCTGATTTGCAACAAGACATACACAGGCTATAAAATCACGCAATTCCTCCAGTTTCTCAGTTTGTCACAGTCCCCACGTTCAGAACCAAGCATCACAAAGGATGAGGATCCTTTTTCTACAGCATAAAGCAAGCCATGAGAAATAACCCGCGAGAGACGGTAGGCCCCCTGAGAATGCAGTAACTGGCTTTATGCTGCTAATTAAGTTTACTCAAACTAATGCATCACCAAGAGTGGATTCCGCTGCCTGAACGTGCAGAAAATAAAACCTGTGAGGAACCTGGGTAGCTTAAAGACTAAAAAGCGACAGGAGTTCAAAATCGTAAAACGCTTCCGTAACAAGTAAAAGTGGTGTTCATGACAGAAGGGAGAAAGTAATAGGACAACACGAACTTTTAACAGTTAGACTTTTGAGCGGCAAAGCAGGCTACAGAGTTTTCCGGTTCCCCTCTTCCCTACTCACAGGAAATTTGTATCTATCTGTTGATTACCCGATATAGCTGGTACGTACATGCTTGCTTTCTGATGCTCTTTCTGTTGCTTTCTGTTAAGCACCATGGGATGATACTACTACTTAACGCTTTTACTCAGAGAGGCTAATCTCAGTTCTCCTCCCCTTTTATGCACTGTCCTAGTTTCAGAGATGGAGAAATTGAAGAGGGTTTTTTGGAAGTGGTTCATGTAAATGAGGCAGCTATAAATAGATTTTGTGCTACCGTTAACAAACGAACGGCCATACAATTCCAGTACAGTTGTTAAATGGTTCCTTCCCCTTGTCCACAGCAGGAAGTAGCTGATTTTTGACAGCTTTTTTTGCACAAAGTCTGCAGGAAGGATGCTTTGCAATATAATATTCTCACAGAACGACAGTTCAGAATTTTTACGCAAATACTATATAAATGGATATGCTGAAAACGATTAGCACTTTTAAACTCCCAGAAGCGCTTTTTCAGCGTCTATGATGTGCAGATTGTTTTGAAAATCTGGACGTACGTGATTTGATCCAAAACATAACCGTTAGTCAGCATCCGAACCAGGATTAGGTGCCAGCAATTCAAAAACGATCCAAAACATAACCGTTAGTCAGCATCCGAACCAGGATTAGGTGCCAGCAATTCAAAAATGATTTCCTGCCTCTGCTTTATAAATAAATTACGACTTTTGGAAAAAAAAAAAAAAAAGATTTGCAAACAAAACAATAAAAGGAAGAGCAATCCTATGTTGCACGCTTAAGAGTCTCTCTAGCTGCCCTGAGTCTGATACGTCACCTAAGAATCTGCTCCAATACATTTTCATCTTCCTAAACATTTTTTCTGGATCTTTCTGCGCTGCGAGTCATTTAAGACTAATAGTTGTGTTTTAAAAATGACTTACAGTTTTGGCACCAAAGCGGTGCACTTCACAGCTTTGCCAGACTGCAGCACCATAAAGTTAATTTACAGTTTTTACAACATCGCTTTTGCGATCTCAGTAGTTCATATTAAAATTCTTTATGCCACATGGAAAGGATGCCTACTCTGTGGATTTAAATGCAAACTTCATTTACCCCAGTGCAAGTTGCATACAGCCAAGATACACACCCACAAATATGTTATTGGGCCTTTTGTAATAGATGAAAAGGTACTGACACAAATCCCTTAAAGACGGGGAGCTATCTTTGTTGTTTTTTATCGTCATCATCATCTCTGGCAACAGCTGGTCTCCTCCTCTATGGCCTGCGTTCAGTTTTTCAGAATCTTTCAGAATGCCGTTAAGGCAGAAGAAAAAGGGAGCTCTTGAGGGCTACAAGGTCCATTTGTGTTTTTTTCCCCTTGAAAGACGGTACTGTAGGGGAGTTGAAACATTCAGTAACTGTTCATTTCCGGATAATATTTCCCACTACGAAAATGATAGCTTAGGTATACAGTGAAGCTAATACAAGTAGGAAACAGGTGTGGATTTCTGTTCGTGATCTGACAGTCCTCTTTTCAGCCTGTTTCTGCCCACAAAGCACAAACTTACTTACTGTTAGGCGAAGACCTGCACTATGTCTTGGATGGCCATTAACTGAGTGAAAAAGGGGAGTTATTTCAAAGTCCGCCGCAGCAACCGTTAATGCTCTGAAAATGTGTCTTTCTAGCTTTTGTTTTACTACTTTGCATTATTTACACAGAACTAGAGGTGATCACAGTATTCCTTGAGAACCTTTTCCCTGTTAAACCTGCTGAAGAGCGTTTTCTATGGGTTGTTCATTTGTGGTGTATTACTCCCCTGCCATTCGTGCTGTAGGAGAGGCGGTCTGTTTCTCCGCAGCAGCACGTCCAAGGGCATGTGCACCTTTTTCTTTGATAATGACTATCTCGTTAAAATTAGTTACAAGTTAAGGGATCCCTGGACAACCACGGTAAGCTAAAACACCAGGTATATGACACACACAACGCTTGCAGCGACAAATCAAACTCAATACACTGGCAAAGGATCACAAATCATTTCCTAAAAAGCAACAGTCTAGCTCTTCACGTTACCACTGCTCATATTAAGAGCAGCAAAAATCGCCTTTCCAATATGAGCAAAAATAAATAAATCGCTCTAAGATGAAAGAATCCCTTAGAGGATCATTTAACAGTAGCAGTATCTGTAACGCAGGAAACAGAACTGATGTTCTGCTCGTTGCCACAAGTAAAAGAAAGAGGCTGTCAGTATCCATGTTCACTGTTCTGTCCAAAAAGAAAAACATAGGTCTAGGAATTTGCCACTATATATTTATTTTTTTTTTTTGTATTAGAGGTGAATAGTACAGATTCTAATAGTGTTTCTTGTCTGGGGCTGGGGCGGGTAGGGGTGTATTGTAATTTTCAAGCTATTGCAAAAGCCGCTTTTAAATAAGCTGTTCAGTCTTATTGAGTAACTGGTTTGTGCTTTACAAAGGAATCCAGGTGAGCCAGGATTCAATGGGTAGCCTCCTTGCCTTGCTGTTAACAGGGTAATTAGAGCTGAAGTCACTTGTGAAAATTTAGTTTGGGGATAGGGAGATTAGATGACCCATCCCTAATCTGTAATGTAGTGTACTGTAACCTAATGAGATTAGACACTCACCTACTGTAGAACTGTGGTTTTGTCAGCAGCTACTTAGTTTGTCTGCCCCCTGGTGTGATGATCTTGGTTACGAATGTCCTCCTACAGATTTAAGATGATGTCAGCCCCTCTGTGTTATCTGGTCTCTGTATATATATCCTACCGTCTAATCCCAAAAGGAAACGTGTAGCACAAAACGAAGTTAAGGGTGCTGTGCACCAAGCCTGCTGTAAGTTTTTTTCTGATACGGAGGGATGGGGAAGACACGGATGTAACAGCAAGCGTATTTGCTACAGAGAACAAGGAGTGTTGCCTAACAAATCCTCACTTAGAGCTGGTTGAAGCTTTGTTTTTGCAGTCAAAAAACTCAAGATCTGCTATTTCCTATATTGAAAGTTGGAACGTTACCTTTATGGTGGCGATATCTTTTGGAAAATTCCTTCAATTTTCCCCCAGTACACTGAAGTTGGGGGTAGAGGGAAGGGAATATCCACATTAAACTACAGCCTTCTGTATTCTCCCCACTTTCCGACTATAAAACAGATACCATTACTGAAACTCGTAAAGTTCCCTGATGCATCAGTAAGCTGTATACAGATGCCTCACTGGGGGAGGTGGCATAAATAAATATACTTCCGGCATATATTTGGGAACAGCAAACTTTGACATCCTATCATTTGACACAGCTGCCTCTTCCCATTTCTTAATCAAGTTCATTCCCACTGTAACTCTTGCTGATCTCATTTTATATCTGGGTACAAAATTGTTAAGTATACACCTTTTGCTAATTTGGAATGAGGTGAAATGGGGTGCTGGTCAGGCCACCGAGTCCTAAGTCAATGTTATGCATGAGCAGACCTACCTGAAAACTTTCCAGTGTATTTTCGACTTTCAAAGCTTTCAACCAGCCTTTACGCTGAAAAGGGGAGGGGGAACTTTAACCTGTATCAAATACTTTCCCAAAGAAATGCTTTTTAAAAAAAAACAAGAAACAAACAAACAAAAAAAACCAGTCTATACGCAGCACTACTATAAAGGTATTCCTCTACTGAGACCTATTTCTAAAACTTTTCCCTTTTAATCCTTTATTTTTGCAATGAACAGGTTCTGAAATTTTGGTTCTTGCTCCGTTGACTAAGCATTCTTCCCTCCCCTGACGTCTACCTATAGTTTCAGTCTGTTTTAGAACAGAAAAAGGATTAGGGGTTTGAACGCTTTCTTTAGTATTAAGCTGAAGGAGCAAGGAAGAGAGAGCGAGAGGAACGTTAAATAAAAAGCATGGCCTTGGCTTCATACCACACTTTCTGTGCCTTGTTCTATCAATGTAAATTCTGAATGTTGTACAGTAAAATACTTGGGAAAGACTCCTTAGAAAAGGCTGCACTGGCTTCTTTTATCAGCACATGTACATATATAAATATATATACATATATATTTGGTAATGCCAAACAGCTGTGTTATATTGTACTGAAAAAAATAATAATGGACAGTTTGGATGTTTTATGTAGAGTTTGCAAAAACTGTGTGGCTATAGCCTTTTGAAGATAAATGTACAGACATAAATTACTGCATATCAGTTATTTATGAATAAAGAGTCTTTTACTGACATCTTACATTATGAGTGGCACATAGATTTATGAGATAAGCCAAGATGTTCTGATGCGAGTGCTTTGTAAAATGCTTCACTGGTTTTGCAGCGAGCCTCGCACAGGAGCTCTTGCTACTGGAAAACTGTGTACAGGGCACCTTTTCCCAGGGAAAACCGCAAAGCCTACTGGAATAGAACCAGAACTCCAGTTTACTGACGACGTTGCAACAATTCAGGAATATCATCCTGCTTTCATATTGGTCTGAACTACAACCAGATAAACCTCACATTTTAAGTTGGAATGTAGTCTGCATTAAGCTGTTCCACTTAAATGCCTTATTTATTTGTGTGAACAGATCTACAACGCCTACTTCTGGACTAGGACACTTTTGTCCCCATCACTGTAAAAAAAAAACCCCATATATTCATCTTCTTTCTGTGAAGTGGAAGATGCAAAAAACTTCTCCACATGTGCACGTATGTAATACAGACAATTCCCTCTAACATCCTTTCCAAGGTTCCTTGGCTAAATTCAGTAAGAGGCCACACCTTGAATCCTGTATCACTGGAAACAAAGCTGTGAGTTCTGCTCCGTTTACCAGGTAAATGTAATCCTTTGTAGTAACGTTTAGTGAGACCCACTGGATAAGAATTCATTGTCTCGATTAATCCTATACAGATGAGCTCATAAATGTAGATCCCACTTCAAAGAACAGAAATACCCCGTCAGCAAACACGGTACCCAGAGGTGTAATCAGAAAGCCACTGTTTACAAAGTAACTATCACCTATACCTTGTAATCTGACAATGAAGGGGGTAAGTGAATACAAGTGTCATCTATGCTTATGCACTTCTTACGCGTACCAGTGTTGGGGAGGAGATACTGGCAACGATGGACCCTTGAATTAAGCCAGTACGGCCTTTCTTTTTTGTCTAGAATTTAGCTACTCCTCGATTTGCTTCACTGTGTCAGGAATGGTGATATACACCCCCTTACATCCTAATCCTAGTCATCCCAGCCAGACGGCACGTTTATATAAAAGTGTAAAAGGACCAAAAAAAAAAAAAAAAACCAAACCAAAACAAAACAAAAACAAAAAAAAAAACCCCTTCAGATTTCTGCTAGACATAGCAGATGGCCCTTTTCTGGATGCTTTTGATCTACACTTCAGGTATGACTGTCACATTAACACGTACAATTAAGCATCATTCACAAAGATGTTAGCCTGACAAAATGAGTATCTGGATACGGCACTCATCTCAAGTGAGAGGATGCAATCCGTGTCGTTAATACGTACACAGCAGAGGATGCTACAAAAAGCTGTAACGAATCAAGATATCCTTCCAACATTTTATTACATATATATTTCAGTTATCATCAACACTGATACCATATGCCATATAAAGTAATGGCCACCCTTTGTAATAAACAGGACTATCATAGCTGCCCTTGGAATTAATTTTAGAATTACTCATGGTTACTCACGTTTGCAGAGAAATAATTTATGATATTGTAAGAAGTTTAACGTATTGTGAATTAACGACCATCTACTTAGAAATTGTACTGTAGAGGTTGCTGTCAGATTATTTCCAAACAGAATGATGGGCTCTGCTGAACAAAGAATCAGGGTGACGTTATTTATATGTCACATTCCCTTGCACATATACAGCTCATTAGCCCATGCCTATTGCACCACGTTCAGATACTCTAGAGCGCTTCCAGCATCCACCACCTCTTCCCATTTCAGTTGCTTAAAAAAATAGGCATAATTTCCAAGCGTAAGCTCTGCTTCTCCTATCTTCATTTTGTGATGGACCTGAAACGTTAGTTACGCTAGCACCCACAGGATCAACAGCAGAAACGCCCGGTTCAGTGAAGCTGAAGATAGTTATTAATTTTTAGATGGCTGTGAAGTCATGTCATTTGTTTCATCCCAAAAGAAAAGATTCTATGGAATTTCTTTTCTTATAAAAAGCAACCTGCTGCCTAGGAATTGTTACAATGCACTTGATCCTTAAGGTGGCCAGGACAACGTATTTGAAACCATCTGAAGTAGCTTGGCTTTTTTTTTGGTCCCTGCCCCCCCACCCCTCCCATTATGGGAGAATCTCTCACGAGTCTTGAGATATAAGATACGTTTTACAAATGATGCAAGCCCCATCACTATCACATCCGAAAATCTTACTCCGAGAGCAAAATCCATGCTGAAAAAAAAAAACATGCTGATTAGTGCTTGACCAAGATACTCTGTTCTCTCAAAGGAAAAAGTATGAAATGGTCAAGCACGAAGCCGCAGCCGCAATCAGTTCGATTCCTATCCTTAGCTTCAAGATATGTGATGGGTAATAAAAAGAAAATAGCGCTTTCTCTACTGTCTCCCCACCTCCCTTTAAAGCATACCATGCAGCAGCTTAACGATCAAAGAGGAGGACCTAGCAAGCAGTTCAGATGACATGTCCTGGCCCTTCTGAACTCTTCGTTCTCTGCTGTTCTTTTTTGTAGAGAATTGCTGGGGGGTGTCTTTACAGAATACAACACTTTACAGAATTTGTCTTGACTGAATACAAGATTTCAAGGATTTGGCACTCTGCAACCACCAATAAAGCTGAATTTCTGGGTGAAATTATATTATCCAGCTAGCCCAGCGAGGAGAACATCCACGCTCAAGGCAGTAAAACCTACCGGCAAAGAGAAAATAAGAGACCACCACCACTAACACATTGAACTGGAACTCAGGACAGCCGGATGCAATTCTACACTAAAAGTTTTCTGTGTAACGTTACTCATTTGATATTTTTGTGCCTCAGGTGAATAAGCTGAATACAGCAATACTTCCATCTCCTCTTTCCTCCAAAAAAGTGCGTGTATTTATGTAATCTCTGAGTATTTTAACTCTTCAGAGCAAGGACCACCTTTTCTTGTGTGGTGACTAAGAGAATGAGGTTTGGAACTGTAACTGTAATTATCAAGTTTCTGCTCGCTGCTAAAGTTTAATGGGGCTTTACATTTAAAAGCACATTTACTATCCAATCTACACTACACACCTTTACCAATAAAGATTTACTAGGCACGCCGTGAAGCACCAAGCCGCGTTTTATTTATAAAAGAAGCTGAAAAGGCTGAAAAAAACAATATGGCTAAAACAGAGCATTCTGGTTGCAGTTATAGGCTATGACCACCTGAGAGCTGCCTCACAAACGTGGCTTACGCTCATGCATTATAATAAGCAAATAAATACACTTTTTTTTTTTTAAACATATGAATAAAACATTAGTAATTCAAAAATTCCAAATTTAGTAAGTGCAGAAAAGCTTACTGACGAAGGCAGAGTTCAAAATAAGTTTTAACGCAGGTCCCTTGAAAAGTTCAGTTCCTTACAGCAGAAATAGTAAAGCACTTTGAATAGTCCAGCATTAAAGCGAACTTCCCTGTAAATGAGGGCAAGTCCTGCTGCTTAATTATGCATGCTGCTACTAGGATAATTTTTCCAGAGAATTAATGAGAACGGCAGTTCTAGCACTGCAATGAATGCAACAGCTAAGAAATTCTCATGATAGAAAAAAACAACATTAGCTTTCTGGGAGTATATAAAAATAAAACATTGTCATTTACTGAACTCTTTTTAGTCTCACTGTACCGCTGTAGAGAGAGCGCAAGTTTTGTTCTGCCTGCAGACACAAACATTTCTGTACCAGGTTGATTTTCAAAGCAAATAAATACACGTAATGAGAGAGACTTCTGTGCGCGCGCGCGCGCGTGTGTGTGTGTGTGCGTGTGTGTGCATTCCTAGTCTTGCCTTGGTAGACAGATACGTACTGTGCCAAAAATCCCTGGGAAATGCAGGATGACAGCATTTTCCTCCCTCTTTAGTGGGATAACCAGCTCATTAAATCTTAACATGAAGGTATTTTATTATGAAGTGACAGATCTAAAGATTTACTTTCCCATTCTTCACCTGCCTTCTCCCTTCTGCTTATTCCTTTGCATTTGTTAATGGCCTTTCTCTTGTTATATAAATCCTGTCAGGAGTATAAAAATATCTCTCAGGATTGCTCATTTGGCCTAAATCATTCAGCCTGTACAGATGACAGGAGAAAGTGTACATGCCATGGTTGATGCAGAGAAGGAGTTCTGTCCTAGACTTCAGTAATTGTCACTGCTTGCTAAGAAAGTATAAGACTTAACAAGGTCATAAAATAGAATGACATGAGCTAGTAGGATAGGTTTTTTTTTTTTTTTTCCATTAACATTCAGAAAACCCGGATTCAGTGGGACAATAAATTATAGCAATTGAGCAGAAATGGCCCATTTGATTATTCAACATTTTCCAAAAGACTAAGGAAAGTAGCAGGGCTGAGAGCACCTCTACCATCGCAACAGCAAGAGTAAATATCTCAGGGGGTGTTACTGTCATTATTCC